AATGTTGTGTATATAAATATATAAATTTTAAGTGTGAAATTTACAAATAAATAAGAATTGTTTGCTACATACGTTAATTTTCCTAAAAACATGTTAATACCTTATTAGATCTAACTGAGGCATCCAAATAAACCACTAAGCAAAACATCTTGCAAATGTTAACGCCACCCAATACTATTATTTCGTTTTAATAGCGAACCATCCTCCGAACGAAACATGCAATCAAGCTGAACCATTTGTCTCAAAATGTTGATGAGGTGCATCTAAAGAAACGTTTCATTTTTATTTTTTATAGATAGCAGATGGTTATCATACCAAGAATGCATGATATGAGTTTAGAACCTGTTCAGTACGAATAAAGTATCTCTGCTTGATCAACTGTAAGCTTACAATTAAGCATGTAAAATGGTTAAGAAGTAAGAACATAAAACCACATACATAATCACTAAAGAAAATGAAATTGCAAAAGTTAAAATCGTCTTCTTTCTAGAGATTGATTCGGAATAAGAAGACATTTGATTTGAATTTCAAATAAGCAGGTAATTTTTTTCCTAAAAAAACAAAGCTGCGTAGTTTCTAAGAAGAGATATAGACACAAATAATAATTAGGAAATAAAACAGACTGCAAAAGAACTTCAAACTCCAAGAGAGACAGCCGGATGGAAATGAGTTCCGGGCATGCCATGAATATCAGCTGCATTCCCTAGAATGAAAAAGAAATGCATAAATTATCATCGTGTCCAAGCCTGCCAAAAATTAAAAAAAAAACTATTAAAGCTGACACAAGCTTTGAAAAAGCTACACAAACTTCACGTGCATGTATACAGTCTATGTAATGATTTCATATGATTAATGGTTATGATCCAAACATCGAGTCTCGAGAGGGGAAAATTATTACATCAGGACTCCGCCCTTATAGTTACATGTCACGTGGAGGTGATAGAAAAAAAAAATGATCCGATAACACAAGAGAATATTTCCCCCCGTGTTATTCATGTGTTATCATATATTTTTCAGGTGTTATTGTGTTCTGAAAATATTCTCGATCTTATAATAACACAATAACATATCAATAACACTTGAATAACACACAATAACACCTGAATAATACGGGAGGAATATTTTCTTGTATTACCGGGATTTTTTTTTTTTCTGTAACCCCTCACGTGACGTGATTTTATTGGACTCCGTACTTAACTCTACCTGCGGAGTCCTGATGCAGGCCGGTCCAAAATTCAAATAATAATAATAATAATAATAATAATAATAATAATAATAATAATAGGCCAAAAACTTTTTGTGTCATTGTATCAATCTCTTAGCTCTTATCCAAACACATCATCTTCTTATTTTATGTCCTCCTAAAGAGTGCTCTTTTAGTTTTATTCGGCAATACTAACAAACAAAACTTCAATTCTACCGATATTTATTGATTATATGAAAACAGCTGTCCTGTATTAAAAAACAAGTGGAGAAAAAGTAAGGGCTCGTGTATTTATATCTTCGGTGTTTTAAACCTTTGCATGAAAATATGAATTTCATGTGATATTAAATATTTGAGTGATGTATGTGCAAATATAAAACCTTGCGTTTGAAAAAGAATATGGGTGAATTTACTAATGTATTTACAACTTTAGTGCTTTAAACTTATGCATGAAAGTATAAATTTGATGTGATATTAAAAATTTAATTGAAGAGCACTAAAAAATCAATTTTTAGTGATTTGATGTGATATTAAAGATTTAGTTGGACAGCACTAAAACATCAGTTTTTAGTGATGTTTATAATAGATTAGAAGCTAAAAATGATGAAAAATATATATATAAAAACTAGCCAAACCAAGAGAAACGAAAAAGTAAAAAATTCAACTTAAATAAAGTATATTAAAGATGAAAAACAAAATGTGTTTTTCTTAGAAGATATTCAACATATGTGAGTGAACTATTTTGATAAATTTTTCAATAGAGTTTTTGAAAATACGGTAGTCCTTGCTAATCTTAATATCAATAATTTTTTTTTTTTTTGACGCCGCATAAGTGAAAAAGAAGTTGAAAAGACTTGAAAGATAACCGAGGTTGAAAAATTAGTATGACCTGATGATATCCCAATTGAAATATGAAATATTTAGAAGATTTTGAATTTTTGGCTTACTAAACTCTTTAATATTATCTTAAGAATTAAAAAAATGTTTGAGTAGTGGAAGAAAATTATTTTAGTCCCCATTTTTAAGAATCAAGGGGATGCACAAGAGTGTACAAATTATATAGAAATTAAATTAATGTGTTGTACTTTAAAATTATGGGAGAGGGTACTTGAACATAGTTAAGCCGTGATACAAAGATTTCTCGTAATCAGTTTGGATTTATGTCACATAGGTCTATCATGGAATCTATACATTTATTGAGAGGTTTGATAAAGAAGTACACAAATAATAATGAAAATCTACATATGATTTTTATTGATTTAGAAAAAGCATACGATATGGTTTCAAGAGAAGTCCTTTGGAGAATTCATAAGAAAAATTGTGTTTATATGCCTAGGGTTGTAAACGAGCCGAGCTTGAGCGAGCTCAGGCTTGGCTCATGTTCGCCTCGTTCGAAATAGCTCGTGTTTGAAATCGGCTCGTGTTTGAAATCGGCTCGTGAACAGTGTGTTCGTGTTCGGCTCGATTTAAATATTCATGTTCGTGTTTGGCTCGTGTTCGGCTCGAAATTGGCTCGTTAAACTAAAATTGTGAAAAATAGATGTAAAGTATGAGATTCGAACCTGGGTAGGCTTAACGAACGAGTTGAACACGAGCTGCTTAACGAGCCGAACACGAGCTGTTCGCGAACAACGAGCTTTTTGACAGCTATAGTGGTATGTATTAAAATGCGCTAATTCCTTCCTTATTTTCAGGTTAATAAAGATATGTATACTAGAGTTGTTACTTGTGTTCGAACAGAAGGAGAATGATAAAGTAGATTGATAAAGTATTTTCCTATTTAAGTTGGATTATATTAGAGATCTGTTTTAAGCCCATATCTTTTTATTTAGCTATGGATGCTCGTACTGGACATTTACAGAAGGATGTACCTTGGTGTATGCTTTTAGTTGATGATATTATTCTTGTAAATAAGACTAGAGGAAAAGTTCAAAAAAAACTTGAATTATGGAAGTTTACATTGGAGTCTAAAGGCTTCATTTGAGTAGAACTAAAACTAAATACATGAAATAGGATATTAGTAGTAATAGCTCTATTGACATAGTTTTAACTATGAGTGATCAAATCATTAAAAAGTGTGAATATTTTAGTTATCTCAAATATAATGCTCAGAGTAATTGTGATATAGATGGGATGTTAGTTTGTGGGTTGAAGTGGAGAAATGGTTATAGAAAAGTGTCTGCATTAACTAAAAGGAAAATTTTATAAAATTATTGTGAGATCTACGATGCTCTATGGCGCAGAATGTTTGCCTTTAAAAGAGAAGCATAAAACAAATTTAAGTGTTGTTGAGATGAAAATGCTTAGGTGAGTGAATGAGAGGCTTGACACTAGAGACAAAATGTGAAATAAATATCTATAATAGTTTTAATGTAGCTCCAATGGTGGGCAAGATTAGAGAGAATCTTAGATAGTTTGGTCAAATTAAACATCAACCAAATGATGATCCGATTCGAATAGTAGATGTTTTAGCTTCTACAGATGTTCAGAAATATAGAGGTAGAACTAAAAGGCTTGGGAATATTGTATAAAAAAACATCTTAATCTACTATAATTAAATGAAAGTGTGACGCTTAATAGGACACAATGTAGAAAAAAAGATTTATGTAGCCAACCCCACTTAGTGGGAGAAAAGACTTAATATTTTTGTTCAATATTAGACCCATAATTACTAGAAATAAAGATTGCTTTTGAAGAGATTCTCACTCAATCTCTCTCTAATGAACCAAAAGACAGAAAATGGCAGACATGACATCGTGCATTTAATATAAATAAACCGCCATTTAATATAAATCAAAGCTAATCATAAAATCAAAATCAAATATTAAAATTTTAGAAACAATAAAAAAATTAATTATCATTTTAAAATGAAATAAAAAATCGAATACAATTGAACCATTTTAATCAAAAAATGCAAATCATGCGGCTCTACCTTAAAAATTGCAACCGTACAGAAAGCCCAAAGTAGTCAAATTACTCCAAAAATACCATACACCTTCGAATCCATCTACTACTCTTTAAATACAAAACAGACTGCAAAAAAATGACAAAATCACTTCATAACCTTCATTGATACAAGGACACGAGCGCTCGCAATAAACCTCCAAATCCATCCAATCCAAATAAACCAAATTACGAGTTATCAAAAGCAAATTTTGATCTCCTCACTTCAAAAAGTAATTAAAAAATGTGTGATTAAAAATTCTTACGTATATATATATATTTCACTAATGCCATCATATTTACATGCAGCATTCAAAATTGCAACATCTAATAAAATATAGCACTGTTACCTCTTTCAAAAGTGAAACAATTTTATTTAAAACATCAAAATGTTGTGTATATAGATATATAAATTTTAAGTATGAGAAATAAATGATACATGAGAATTGATTGCTGCTAACGTAAATTTTCCTATAAATTAATTTTAATGCCAATTTAGATCCAACCGAGTACTCCAAATAAACAATCCTGCAAAACATCTTGCAAAAGTAAACGCCACCCAATACTATTATTTGGTTTTTTTATAGCAAACCATACTCAGGACGAAACATGTGATCAAGGTGAACCATTTGTCTCAAAATGTTCATGAGGTGCATCTAATGAAATGTTTCTTTTTATATATATATATATAGACAGTGGATGGTTATCATACCAAGAATGCATGATATGAGTTCAGTACCTGTTCAGTGCCAATCAAGTATCTCAGCTTGATAACAGTAAGCTCACAATTAAGCATGTAAAATATGGTTAAGATCTTAAAGCATAATACCACATACATAATCACTAAATAAAATGAAATTGTAAATGCTAAAATCGTTTTCTTTCTAGAGATTTGATTCGAAATAAGAAGACATTTGATTTGCATTTCAAATACGCAGGCAATTTTTTTCCTAAATAAACAAAGCTGCGTAGATTCTCAGAAGAGATATAGACACAAATAATAATTAAGAAATAAAACTCGACTGCAAAAGAACTTCAATCTCCTAAAGAGCCGGATGGAAAGTGAGTTCTGGACATGCAATAAATTTCAGCTGCTAGCTAACAGAAAATCGGCGGCATTCCCTAGAATGAAAAAAAAATGCATAAATTATCATTAAGTGCCCAAGCCTACAAAAAAAAAAAAAAAAAAAAAAAAAAAAACTATCAAAGCTGCACAAGCTTTGAAAAAGCTACACAAACTTCACATGCATGCTACAGCCCATCCAGTGGTTTCCTAAGATTGATGGTTATGATCCAAAGATTTAAGTTGTGATGGGCCGATCCAACATTCTGGGAAAAGTTTTAGCAAGAAAAAAATTCAAAAAACAAAAAACCTAAGCAAAAAACTTTTTGCACCATTGAAACACTCTCTCAGCCCTTAACCAAATATATATCTTCTTATTTTCTGTACTTTTTTATAGTGCACTTTTAGTTTCGTTCGAAAAATACTAACAAACAAAACTTCAATTCTACCAATATTTCTTCATTATACAAAAACCGCCTTCTTGAATTCAAAAACAAGTGGAGTAAAAAAAAAGAGAGGGAATTTACATACATGACACCCAATTCTGAAGTATTTACATCTTTGGTGTTTTAAACCTATGCATGAAAAGGTGGCTTTCATGTGATATTAAAGATTTGATTGCTATGTGTGCAAAGATGAAAGCTTAGGTGTGAAAACAAGGGTTAATTTACATAGCTCACAATTCTTATGTACTTACATCTTTGGTGCTTTAAACATATGCATGAAAAGGTGAATTTAATGTAATATTAAAGATTTGAGTGCTATACCACAAAACCCCACGGCGCCCACCACCATTACACCACCCAAAACCCCCAAAGAATAAAAAAACAAATTTGATCACAAAAATTTAAGGAACGGTTTAACAAAAAAGACTGGTGATATGACCACCCTAATTTAAAAACAGTGAACAAGACAAAAAATAGTTATAAACAATGACTTAGTGTTCTTTCTCAAATTTATATCGTATGGCATGTAGTTCAATCACATTATATACCCAACAAAAAGGTATGCTGTACCTGCAAAGGACCACACTTAGCACTTAGTAATATGCCTTCCGTGGGTTGTTCTGCAAAAATAGCAAATCTCCATGAGCAATTGAATAAATAAAATAAGTAAATAAATAAAAACAGGAAGGGTGCAAAAATTACCAGAGGATTTGGCCTGTATTTATAACCAAGCATCATCCTCTTCTTATACTGTTCATAAATGTCATCCTCAGGAGTAACCTCGCCTGGGTTCTCAGCACCAACACCCAGATTATTCAGTTTCACCGACCCAGCCATCACAGGATCTGCACGACCCGCCTTTGCACTACCAAGTCCCTCACCTACAATCAACATCATAACACCTCATTAAACTTGATGAAAGAACATAAATGGCTGCAAGATTAAAATAGACAGAAAATTAATAATTTAATTAACTCATGAACAAAAAATTAAAAAAAAATGGAAATTTAAATAAATACAACACAACTCTTATAGATTTACATAGTAGATATTCACATTAAACTATGCATAAGAAGATAAATTTTACTTTTCAAAGTTATTATAAGTGGCATTTTTTAATGTGATGTTAAGTATTATGAATGTAAATATTAATCGTGGTATGTATGTAAATGCCCGTATAAATTCCCAGGAGTAATGTATTCACCCTGAAAATACAAAACAAGGGGAATATAGTGACGCACGGTCTTTGTTACAAATATATAAAAATAAATGAATTGTGGAGTAGATCAATAACCTTCTTTCCAACCCATTTTGGATAAAAGCTTATGCCCAACATTATCGGATTGGATTCTGGACTTTGCCGCATTCTCAAGAGCAATTTTCTGGGCGGTAGCATCATTGCAACTAGCAAAGAACTTATCCAATTCTTCTTGTGGGATGAAATCACCCATATGATGCCCCTTTCTGGAAGAAGCTGCAGTGCAACAAACATAAAATGGTAAAGATCCAATTAATGTTAATACTAAAGATGGAGGATGGACTGTATAAACCGATGAGATGAGCATGGATTCGTAATTTCAGAATAGGCAAAAGTCATTCTTTCATTAGAAATATATCATAAATATGATACAGAACAGTACGAAAAAAGAGAGTAAGATGATGACCTTGAAGAGATGCTGGTGGTGGCATTTCGTCTTTTGAATATCGTGGTTGCCTCTTTCTCTCTTCCTGAGCAGCTTTTTTCATGTAGTATTCCATCACTGCAATGGGATCTGAAGATGCGGGCCCACTAGATTCACCTGCAAGTGAAAATTTAAATTAAACTTCCAAGAGCAGATAAACATCGCTTTTACATTCAAAAAACATCTAATGGTCAGTCTATCAATTTCCAACTCTGTGCAAAGTTAATATAATCCACAACCACCATTGGATTAATAAATGGAACTTTTCAAACTAATAGCATAGCAATCGTGAAATGTAATTATTTACATAGAATGGGATTATCTAACCAGAGAAAATTAACTCTGCAAGCCTACAAAAGAAAAAAAAAAGTATAACGATAGGTAACAAATAAAAAATACAAACTTAAGCATGCATTATTTAACATTAACCAAATTAGATGAATGGTTCAAGAATCCATTCTACCGAAGATGGCAAATGCATCGATTAAAATCAGGGTTTTTTTTAACTTGATTTATGGCAGATTCCATTTTGGTTACTCTTATCCTCTTAAACAAACATCATTAAATGGCAAAAATCCTGAAGTAATAATGGTAGTTCTGCAAGCAATAGTTTAGAATATACTACAATGACCTACTTTTTGGACAACCAACGGTTAGTTCCTCTCATTATCAAAGTCAACAACTTCTCACCAAGTTGGCTGACATCTCCCCCGCAAATTATTAAAATTATCATTAGCATTGCCCCGAGCATTTGGGCTCCCCTATACAAATCATTCCCTGTTTATTCGTATATTCAGTGCTAAACGAGGTGTTTAACTCATTTTACACAATTTTATTCTGTTTAAATTTACATCTATTTTGCCTTTGGCTTAAACCCTTTCTATCATAATCCCTTGACACAAGATTCATCAACCCATTTTATGAGTGAGTTTTCTACTTCTTGTTGTACATATCAAAGTCATCCAAGTCTATTTCCCATTACATTACCATCAATAGAAGCTACTCTTCCCATCTTTTTAGTAAAAGTCATACCTCTATGTATTTTAACTGACGTCCTATGTATTAAATTACCATGTGTGAAAAACTTATATCAAGGCACCTCGTATTAAATATCTATTTTAAGTATCTCATAACAAATAGCAAAAAGAAACTTAACTTTGCAACTATCTGTAATTTGTTACGATGGTGGTTAGTTTAAGAGCAAATTTATCTTTTGTACGCCTAAAGGCAATTTAGTCTTTTATTATTGTTGTTGTTAGGTATAATAAATAGACTTGTTATGGACTTGTTATGTCTAGGGTTAGGTTTAGGTTTATGCATGAGTAGTAAGTCTTAGGTTTAGATTTTGGGAGAGATTTCCTCCCTCTCGAATTATAGGAATTGGGAGAGAGCACCTACCACCCGAATTATAGGTGTTTATCTTTGTTCTCTTGTTAAGTTGTTTGATTTATTAAAAAAATATTGTATTTCTCCTAATATTTCTAAAAAAGCATGCCGATTTTGAGGTCGGATTGTATCAAACTGGTATCAGAGCCAGTGATTTCTGGAAACCGCGAACACATGAGAAGTTTATGTCTTTATCAACAACAAATTGCAGCATAGGAATCGCATACAGTCGCACTTTTAAGGCATGAAGGGATGGCAGCTTACCGAGACCCAAAACATTGTTTCCACACCATCTACCCCCATACAGTCGCGATTAGCACGCCCTAGGAAGCGGCATACAGAGATTCAAAACTTTCTTGTTCTTCTCACCTGATATAATCGCGATCAAAGCTATCTGGGAAGGCAACACAGCGTACAGTGACCTGAAACTCCCACTCTTCTACTCTCGTGTCGACTATGTGATCCCGTCGCAATCAAAGCTAGCAGGGAAGCGGCATACAGAGACCCAAAAATTTGGTTTTTCTCAATTTCTCGCAGTGTCTAAGCCTGGCGACGAGATCGCAGCTACAGTGAAGTGATTTGAGCAATCAAGCTTGCGCGGATTTGTGCTTTATTTCACCGAAAAAGATTTCTGCTACTAATTTATACTTGGACATTCATTCACGTATGAAGTTACAATATTTCAGCTTCCTTGTGCCGAAGCTATTCAAATCGACAACGAGCATACGTTATTGTGATACAGCCCCGCAAATCACTTGACGGGAGCGTGCAGGTGTTTTCGTGTTTTGTGATCAAAATTTTTTTTGGGAGTAATGGCAACAAAAAAGTGGATGATTTAGTAAAAAAAATGGAGGAAGAGATGAGTCGAACAAAATTTGGAATGGAAGAAAAATTCTCCATCATAGAGAAAAGGTTCTCTTCTATGGTGAACCGACTGGGGATCGATTCGAGAACATGGGGCAAATTCGAGAGATGCTAAAGATGCTCATTGAGATGCAATCCAAGAACCCGCTGAGCAGATTGGATGGGGAAGAGAAACTTGTGGCGGGGGTATTGTGTTAGGAGAGGAAAATCTTAGTCTGGTTTCAGTGGAGTGATGCTAGATATCTAATCCGTCCGTGGGATGGATTTATGGATTATTTGTTGGAACGTTTCCGAATCATTTGGGAATGAGACCTAAACGAGCAATTCTATGACTTAACTCAGAAAGGGACGGTCATGGAATATAGAGAGAGATTTGAACCATAATCGGGACGACCGTGAAAGATTTCAAAAGCAGGACTGAAGGGGAATTTTATGAAGGACTTAAAGCCTACCATACTGGCAGCGGTTCAATTACTAAGATTGTGAGGATTGAAGTAGATTATGGAGCTAACCCAGATAGTGGAAACAAGAACAGCCAACAGGAGCAACAAAGATGGAGCATCGTACGAAACTGCTGCAACCACGACGATGCCAAAAGTTCGGACAGTGGAAGTCCAGGCAGAGGCTGCACGGGACACAAATAATGGACCACAACTAAAAGCAACACTCAAATGCCTTACAGAAACAGATATTAGAGAGAGGCAAGCCAAGGGGTTATGCTTTCAATGTGATGAGAGATTTACCCCAGGACACAGTTGCAAAGATCAAATTTTACAAGTTCTCATAGTGCAAGATGAGGCAGAGAATGAAAAAATAAAGATAGCTATGGGGGAGGAAGACACTCATTTTTTTCCACCTTGAGTACAATGTGTCTTTTGGGTGTGTGTGTGTGTGGGGGGGGGGGGTTTGAGCTAAGTGGGAAGGGAGGCAAGATATGGAGAAAAAGGTGAGGATTGAGACTAAATTAACGAGCCAAACACAAACAAAGATTTTTTCGTTCGTGTTCGAGTTGTTTTGGCTTGAAATACTACTCATCAATTATATTATATTGACCATAAGGCTACAAAAATTTATAATAAATTAAAAGTATTAACTAAGAAAATAAAATAAAAAATATTGAATTAGATTCAAATAATGTTTTAATATAAAAAATAAATTTTAAATCTTCCCCCAAGCCTTAACATCTTATTGTTACGTGATTAGGGTTGTCAAAACAACTTTGTTCGTGAGCAGCTCGTTTTCGGCTCGTTAAGCAAAAGAGTCGAACACGAACACACTCTTTGAGCTCAAAATATAAATGAGCCGAACACGAGCGGAGCCCACGAGCAGAGCCTCATGTTCAGCTCGTTTACACCCCTTAGGGGGGGGGGGGGGGGGGTATTATAAGGGTGTTTATCCTAAAGGCAAATTTATCTTTTGTACACCTAAGGGCAAATTTATCTTTTGTACGCCTAAGAGCAATTTGTTCAATTATTATTGTTGTTGTTGGGTATAAATATGTTAGTTATATTTAGGGTTAGGTTTATGTTTTGGGAGAGATTTCCTACCTCTTGAATTATAGGAATTGGGAGAGATCGCCTACTTCTCAAATCAGAAATACTTATCTTTGTCTTTCTTGTTGAGTTGATTGATTTATTAAAGAAAAATTGTGTTTGCCCTATGTTTTCTGGAAAAGCATGTCGATTTTGACGTCGGATTGTATCATAATTCTACTATAGTTGGAAACTATTTAGTCACTCCAACATAGTAAAAGTTTCATCATGCATATCTTTAATAACTACAACATACATTCAAATATATTTTTTCCTTAATGCGCACCATATCAATTTTCATGATACTTGAATATATGCCTTATCAAAATAATAATAAATTTCCCTACTCTCTAAGTTTGTCCATTAATTATCATAACACCCCAAAAAATAACTTTCACATCGAATCTTCCAAAAACTAAACTGCATCTCAAATATTGTATATATGTTTTATAACACTCCTATAACTTCATAGACTTATAAATTAGATTTTTCTATAATAATAAAAATCTTAAACATCTATTTTATTTTTAAATATTAGTACCAAAATGCTAATTCTTTGATGAATTAGCATCCATTTTGTACACAAAATTGTACGAAAATTTCCATGATCAAATAGAAATTCTAATAAAAAAAAATTGTGAGTCCCACTTTTGCAATATATAAATAACTCTCCAAATCTCAACATTTATCTCATTTGGATCCAATTCTTTGCACTTTCAAATCTTCTTAGGAGCTAACTTCACCTTTGTTTTAATCAATATAAAGTAAACCTCATTCTTTTATTCACTATCCTCTTCAAAATTAATAGCTTTATCAAATTCCTCATTTAATATTTTTCAATGTAGCACTTTTATTTTTCCTTTATAAATTCATATTTAACTAATAAATTATCCGTTTTTCTCATTCTGTATTACCTAAGCCTATTATAAATATCATAAGGACCTATAGATTTCATACTTTTCTAAATATTATTTTGTAAAATTTATTGACTATAGTGGCTAGATTAAAACATAAGAGATCCATATAGTGAATACTAGAAAAAATATATTCAATTACCCATTCATCTAGACGCCAAAAAATTTTAAAAAAGCCAAAAATTCCAACCCATCATGCCAGGGGGCATCTTCTAACGTGCATCATACATGTTAAAATTAAACAAAATACGTAATAGGAGAAGAATAAAAATTAAGAACTTTCTCTTGAGTGAATAGCTCATTCTCATGAGATAATTGAGCATGTGTATCTACGAAAGTGAAAAAAGTGAACAATTTGCTACCTTGGTTTCATCAACTTGTCTCAAGGAAATCAAGCTAATAAAACGAAAAGTATCAATGCAGGCCAGGAATAATCTAAAAGTATATCTTATTGAGGAAGAAGCTGCCAGCTTTCAAAGAAGAAAAGCACTATTAAAGTTTCTACGCGCCATGCAGTTTGGGAGATTCTTGAGTTCATTGATTTGAGAGAAAATGAACATATATCACTTAAACAATTTGCATTTAAATAAATCAACTTTTCTAAATTTTTGTTATCAAAAGATTTTAGCGTCCGGAAAAATTATGGTGCATTCTAAAATCTTTAAACCCTCAACTTTCCCAGAAAAATAGCTGCAACCAGATAGCACTGCCTTACAAGTTTACAAAGGAAGAATGATCATTTAACCTCTTATAATTTATACGATAAATCTCATTTCCTCTTCATAAAGGAAGAGCAACTACTCTCAGCGAGTTGAAAGACCATGATGATTTAGGATGCGTCACAAAAGCAACAATTCTCTAGATGCTGTTCTTCACTTACAGCTCCACAAACTCCAACTGCACTGTCCATGCTCCTGGTTTAGATTTTGCCCATTTTCTCAGGTACAAGAAATGATCTGCAAATGATCTTCTCTATCCGGCCATGAGATGCAAGATGCATCTGGTCTTGATTTTTTCACAATAAACACATCTTTATGGTTCACCTCTCAGACAAAAAAAGCTTATCTGGCATGGGTTTTAATCTTTAGAGTGTATCCAATAGCTTCTGTGTTTTTCATATATACATTGGTAATGACTGTGAATTAGGTGTTTCATTGCATTTAGGGATTTCTGAGGTAGGTTTCAGTGAATTCTGGTTGTTCAACGATTTGGTTTGCAGAACGAAGCTTTACTAGTGTTTTCTGGAAATTTACTGTTTATTATCGATTTAGATATTCTTTCAGTTGTAGAAAATTTGCAGACTTAACCTAAACTGTTCTTCATGGTCTTAATTGGCGACTTTATTTTGGAAAAGATTACATGGTTTTACCTTTAAAATATTCTACTATCAGAATCCCTTGTGGTTAAACAAAAAATGAAATAATATGCCCTTAACTATTTTCCATATCTGCCGTTAACTATTTTCCATATCTGCATAGAAGGTAGCGTTAAGTCTGCATTTCATCAGAAAACCAGATTTTAAGTTCTTTATCCAGCGAAGAATGAATAATAGATGCACTATATATTTACCTCACACTTAATCAAGCAGCTTGGTGTAATGCATTCTTAAAATACATGCACCCAAACAACCCCTAAATAGATATGCTTCATGAGGTATTTTGGCAAGCCATGAAAGAACGCAAACCAAGAAAGATAGATCCATCGTATGGAGAGTATAAGAAACAACCAATAAAAGCATCTTACTAAGTCTTAGCATAGATACAATAAAACAATACCATGTATGGATGGTTTACCCATAGATGCAGCATAAGTTTTTATGTCCTCATCAACGCCGTATAAAGCTGATACTGGAGTCTGAAAATTAGAATTTTTCTGTACAGAAGCCCTCCTCTGAGAAGTATTTGAGGCTTTAGAACTTGCAGCAGCACCACTGCTTTCTGTAACTAAGAAAACAAAGACATAAATAGAATTCCAGATAAACATTTTAGATGATATTTAAGCGACTGGCTAACCATGTTGAGAATCATTTGACTTTCGTTGAATCTTTTCCTCTTCAAGAAGCTGATACTCGTAGTATTTGTAGTCTGAGCAGCTAGTATCAAACAAAAACCTACCGAAAAAAAAAAATAAATAAATGCTAAAAAGCCTAATATAGTTAGAAGAGTTAAGACTAACTAAGGACTGAATTAGATAAAGCACAAAATCCAAACAAATATGTATGTATGCATGCATATGATCACATGCATGTATTGTGCATGCAAAATTTGTAGCAAGCATGCTTGCGGTGATGAGAAGACAAAAACAAAAAAAAAAAAAATGAAAATGAAAAACATATCATTTTTTGGTATCATTTTTTGGCCACTATTGAGCATAAAAATGAAATCAATAAGCCAAAAAGGCTACAATCAATCACTGTAGAAACCAGGATTGATAGAAGGTCATTGACTTGGACCTAGAAACATACATAAATTTGGGCACATGAACTAGAAAAATAAGCACCGATGTATTCTTATTCAAATATTTTTTTCTCTTTTAATGAAGCAGGTGAAGGTTGGAGGTTGCAAAGCAACTAAATTATTGATGGCCATAGAAAAAGATACATAAATGACAATGGCACATAATTTATCCCGGAAAAGTTAATATAAATTTCTTATGTGCTTAGATGAAAATTCTAGCCTAAAATACTGTTCTTTAGACATGCAACGCAGAAATCTCAAATCTTCAATATAACATGGGACAGAATGAAGTATTAGCAATAGTCATGCAAAACAATTGGCTAAAAATAAATAAGATAAAATCTTGTTCCATAACTAAGATGCAATTTGTAATGAAGATATTAATTCTAAATAATTCTTATGCATATAAAGAGCGCATTCATACTTAAACGGGGTATCTCCAGGATTCTTCTGACGTGTAACATCCTCGAAGTACCTTCCATTTTTGGCAACAAAGGTAGCTAATTTGTCCGCAGCATTCTTCACTGTAGGATCACTAGGAGGAACTGGTGCTGCATGTCACTTAAAGAATTGATTAATACCAAAGTATGAGCATGGCAATGCAAATTACTGTTGTAGCAGGCGTGCCACATTTTCCAAATCTTTCAATCAACATCTTCCACCGAGGTCGATGGACACATAAGACAAAAGCTGCATTAACGAGAACACTTTCAAGGCTCTAGTATTTATACACTACGTTGTATCCATGCCTATCGTAATATAATAAGCAAAAGCTCAATTATTTTCTGAAAAGAAATTCCTGCGGTGATATGTCAACTATTTACAGAGTCATAACAACCATTCTAAAAAGAATGAGGGGCATTTTTCAATCTCAACTTTAGATAAGAAAACCAGCACAAGTGATTAAAAACGTAGCAGGAAATAGATATGTAAATATATAATAACCATATTTGTCAAATGTGTGTACAAAAAATCATTACCATCCCCATTATCTGGTTTTGATTTGGAGTCACCCAACTGCCCTAGTTTCTGCCTCTTTGCAGAGTCCTCAGAAATCCCGGCCTCTGACTCCCCTCCGTCTTCTTCTTCGTCTTCAGCCAGTTTAACAGGAGCAGAAACAATCTTAGACTTCTGCTTCAAGCTGAAAGCTAATTTTCCACCGGATCCAGAAAGGCTAGGCTTCTTCATATCACTGGATTTGATTTCCAACGGCCTCTTGTTCGCAACAACAATAGGCTTCACTGAGAGGACAGAGTTGCTGCCGGTGCCAGATTTGGCCTCTTCAGCAAACTCCTTCTCATGTTTATCTTGCTGAAGCTGTTTAAACTTCTCCATAAAGGAACCATCGTTAACAAAAAGATCTGGATTTACTCCCTTCCCCATAGCAGGTTTCGTCCAACCCTCACTTGAAAAACCAAATCACGCAGAAGCTAAATCTGAAAGCTTGTTTTTTGTTCGACGAACTGCATTCTTTAAGCTCCAATCAGAAATAGCAAATAGAATTGCCCGATGTAATCAGAAATTAATCAATTTATTAGAGGTAGAAATCCTAGACGGGCCCGGCAGTATTTCCCAAGGAACACCAGAACGGCAGAAGAAAACCCTAGGCCGGGAGGAAATCGATAAATTAAATCAAAAATTGATCATACCTAAAGGGACGAAGATGCCAGAAACAGGAAACCCGGTGCTTCGATTTGATAGGATTGACTTTCGTTGCTCGTGTTGATCACGAGATCGGAACGGAGAAAACTGGCGCCGGGCCGACAGGAATAAGTCGGGGAAGATGACTAACCCGAAAAAACGAGGTATTTTGATTTTATTTATAGGAAAGAAGAATTTGCGTTCCGGTGACCTGCGGAACAACAAATACGCCGGAAGGGGTGGGGTTTCTCATCTCGGCCCAAGCGGAAAACTTGGGAGAGATATATATATATATATATATATATATATA